ACGCTGATAAAAAATTTGAAAAGTCGTATCTCTACCAGTTTTTCATAACCGACTGGGTCACTGGATTCAGCTGCTACTCCCACACCAGGGGGACCAGATATTTCATAACTGTGATGCTCATCGTGCTTAAAGTGACAATCTGTAGATTTTATCCAGTTTAATATCCATTGAAATGTTGTTGTAAATTAATTAAATGATGCCCAGTTATTGAAAAATATTGGCAGTTTCATAACATATAACCATAAATATCTGGTCTCGAACACATGTCTCTGGGTGACGCCATATTGGATGCCATGTTTCTTTCTACAGAAGCCTGTGAGGACAAAATGCATTTACTGATTTGTAACAAATGGTTACAAAACTTTCACCATACACAAACATTGTTTTTGTACACATTTAACTCTTCACTCGTTGCCAGTGATGAAAAGGAATCTGATGTTCTTGTTATATTGCTGGAGGTTGCGCTACCAGGGATTTTTGACCCTAATGGCCATCCACGTTGGTAAAGTCTTACTTGAACACAAACGTAATGCTTACTTGCAACCACTTAGGTACGTACTGGCCCCTGTCGCCAAGGAAACTACACACTGTCACTTTAATAATGTACCTTTCACACATGTAATCCAACATTGTAACATTATTAGTATCTAGCATTTGACTTAAGTCGACAATAATGGACGTTAAACTGAAACAATCTATGAAATCCAATGTTTCCCGAGATCTTGTTCTGTCAGAATGAAGGTGGTAAAAGCTGCTGCCACCTAGCTGTCGGAGTTTGAATTGCACCACACAAAATACAGTAAAAGTTTGCATGTAAGTTCTCAATAACAAAATCGATACATTGCTTTTAAATATTGATAAAGAATCCTAAAACAAAAGATCGCAATATTTCAGTGTATCAATATTTTCTTACATCCCTACTAAGGTTTTTTAAAAGTCTGTATTTTTGCATTTCACGACTAGCCAGAGCAGTGGTTGCTGGATTTCTCTGCTCCTCCATTCATGATCAGTTCTGTTGGAGCTAATTGGTGGGTGAGCATCCGGGGATCCGACAAAGCAGAAACCCTCCTGGACAATCACACACATGCAGGTTGGAGCGATGGCCTTTCACAGCCTGCCGGTTCTGGGTCCAGTGCCAGGCTCCATCTTGGGTACCCCCGTTGAATAAAGAGCAGCTCTGTTCCACGAGGCTGACACACGAGATTCGGCCACGGTTCCCCCCATGTGCCTCAGACAACAACCATTGTTCTAGCTTTTAATGAAGAAGAGTCGATGTGGGGAAAAAACAAGTAGAGAGGGTTAACTTAGTCACTTCCTGGGTTTAGTAAACAAAAAGGTGGAGGGGGCTCAGATACCATCCACCACTGGATGACATGAAAACAGACAGTCATGTCACAGAACCAGAATGTATGAAACTTTACAAAGACAGTTTTAAAATCCTAATTTATGGAGAGATTAGAAACAGAGTCCAGCTGGGCAACAGAGTGCAGGTAAACAGCCCACCACTCCGAACCAGCCAATGTGACAAATTACACTTCAGTCGAACATGAAAATCTACTCTTGTGATTAATCTGAAGAGTAGATTTCAGACGCAGTGTGCCCCCCCAACAGCACAAATAACTCCTGGCACTTTAGCAGCCTTTAACAAAGCAGCTTATATGTAATCTGGACAGACTATTGAGAAAAGCAGCAACAGCAGCAGATAAGCCCAACGGCCCCCATATGGCATTTAAATGTGTAACCTGTCTCTCTCCCAGACAGCAGTGGCGCGGGGTGAGGGCCTCGGCTTCAAGAGGATGGTATCTAAACATTAACGGTAGTAAACGTTAAAAGACCTAACTCATAAATGTGTGAGAGCCTTTTGTGAAGAAGGTAATCAGCAAAAATGTAACAGAAGCCAGGAGAGGGAACAGACTGGAGAAAGAATTCTTCAAATCAAATTTTACCCTGAAGGCTGTAAAGAAGGGCCTGACGAGCATCATGCATGTCTCATGGGGAATAATGGATCCTCTCTGCTCGTACTTTCACTTTTGTACTTGAGTCTGGAAAGTTACAAAGTCCATCCCATAAACACGTTTTCTCTTCCGCAGAAGTCACTAAATCTAGGCGGCACGATTGTTGTCCAGGATCAGATGAAGACTGAGTGTAAACTGAATGCTTAAGATGTTTTATGGGAAGAATTACAATAGATTTGCAGTTTTATTGCTTAAGTTTAGAGGTCTCATTCATTTGTTTTACAAATTTCTTGTGGTCTAGTATTAATTAATGCCTTTTGAGATGTTTTCAGTAAAAAAAGCTCTGGCGTTCCTGTTTGAGGGGGTTGAAATTTACTGGAAGAGTGTGGGGTGGAAAACAGCAGGAATGATTGTCCTGCTCATTAATATTCTTAAAATGTAAATATATCACCTTTGATTGGCTAACGGCAACACAACTCTTCCAGTGCCGTCATTCTCTTTTCTGTCTGGGGTAAAACAATTGCTACGTTGATGCTTGAGAGTGTTTCGCCATGTTGTCGATTAGCTCGTGCCAAAAGTTAGCTTTAAATATCCAAAACAGGCTACACTCTCTCCTGGCCACAAAAATCAACCCAGCCTTCTGTGGTTGTAAGCCCTGGTGGGCGGGGCCACGCAGAAGTGACAGGCTTTTTCCGACTTCAGTGTTTCCCGTTTATGTCCTTTGTGAGGCTAACACAGGCGTTCGAGGTTAGAGAAAAAATTTTCACCTTCAGCATATATTTGCAAATAAAAAAATTATTACACTTTTTTCAGTTAATATCTTTGAAGCATAAAATGAAAACTTTTTGCACGATGCACATTTAAAAAACAAAACATTCATGCCCGTAGATTTTGCTCCTGTTTTTGCTTGCGGTATAAAATCTTCCAGCCGTTTTAGTTCTCTAAACAGTGAATATTTGGGTTAAACCTGGAACTGCTTTCATGGCCAAGGTCACACATGATTCACACCCTTGCATGATGGCAGAGGAATTACGATACAATTAGCCTAAGTCTGTTTCAAAGATCGGGACCTAGACTCTGAGGATTTATGAGACAGACTTCAATGGACAGCCTTTATTTAGAGGAATCTGCAGACTCAAACGCAATCTCATCCAAAGCGAGATGGGTTAAATTTTAACCCGCTGCAGCTTTGACAACGCCGAAGCTGCTTAAACTACCTTTGAAGTGTTAACTGTAGATAATTAGGGGAGCACAGCAGTCGTAACGTGGTCAAACCCAGCTGAAAAATAAAACGCTGACTCTGCAAAAAGTCCTAAAAAGTTATAGAGAAGTGACTTCATATTATAGATGTGTGGTTCCTGTTTTTGTCAATAAGTAACAACTCTGATTTAGGAAGCACAGGTAAAACACTGAACTAAAAAGGTTCTGCATCCAGGTCAGGTCAGAGATGCTGGAAGTTAATATTCTAAAAAGTGTGTTTTTCCCGTCACACAGTCTAGAGATCCGAATGCAGTGATGAGAAATCCAGTTGGCTGCTCAAATGTGGTCGAGCAAAGCAGCAGTCTTTAATCTGAGCGGTTTCCTGCTGTGATGCAGAGCTCGCCTGTTGATGCTGCTATCCTTTGATCAGCTGCCTCAGAATGAAACTCAAGGATGCAAAACCAGTCGCATTGATTAATAATACTAGGGGTGACAGGAAATGATTAAGGAGCAGCTTAGATGCTGCAAAGGACAAAATCTTGACTCATCAGCATTGTTAACCTACAAAGAAGCCTGAGAGGCATCCAGCTCATCATCTGTTACTCAATCTGAGATGAGGTCATCAGATCCAAACAGTGCTACTCAGGTAAGTCAATCACCGTCGCTCACAGCTGAGAAGCATCAGGGTTTAAAGGGTGGTAAGGAGCACTAAATGCTCTGCTAATAGCACTAAATTCTTCTAATGCCAGAGGGCTCCCATCCCATGGAGAGCTGAGGCATTATGCTGGCAGGAGGAGCAGAAAAAGATCAAAACAGAGTACGATCGGGGAGTTCCCTGACATTCAAGAAGATCGGCTTTACTGACAGCCAGCCCAAGAAAATCCTCCGTTTAGGGAAGCATGTTCGTTTCTAGACAGCATATTCAGGGATTAGCTCAAGTAAACTTTATGGATCCTAATTATTTTGAGCCCACAAATTAGAAGGAGGATTCTTGATGCTCAGAGCGACTCTTAGGAGCAGATGTGATTAAGAAGATGGCCCAAATCCCTCTGAGGTGTGATGTCAAACCTTTCTAACCCCACCAAAATAAAATGTCAGCAATCACAAAATGACCCGACATCCAACCTTCTGCTTTAGGCAACAGACTAATTCAGGAATCAGTGCAAGCCATGAAATCTCAATCTTGTGCTGAAACAAAACAGAAAGTCACTTTTTTATCTCCCACACACACACTTATAGTGAAGGCAAATCTGAGACAGCTGACCCACATTTAGCCAGCTCTCAGATTTCACCATGGTTCTTCCTTGTAAGTGTGAAAAAAGCAGCTCTAGTTTTAAGTCAGTCACCAACTTTTATAAAAATAAAAGAACATTCATGTCCTCCTGGAGGACCCTTCAGTTCCAGGCCTAAGAGCAGAGCTGTTTGGTGTGACAGGAGCTCCAAAGGGGCCTGGGCATGCTGGGCGCTCACAAACGTCTGGACTTATAAAGTTGAAAGAAAAAATTTGCAATAAAACAAATGGCTTTCCACGTTAGGAAGTGCAAGTGTCTGAATTTGGGAATTTTATAAGAAACGTGGGAATAAACAACAAATAAGTTAAAAGCATGAACTGGTGGTGAGTTCAAACACCACCGAGAAAAAAAAGTTCTGCTCAGAGTAAAGCTGAAAACCAATAAAAATAAAAATGAAATAAAACACTGGTTTTCTGCTTTTATTCAAACCGAGAAGAAAAAGTCCAGGCGCGCGTGGACAAAACAGGACCAACCTACACACAGCTGTCCCGTCCCAGGCACTGAGAACAAAGGAGGAAACACATGGAAACAAGTTTATTTTTTATTTTCTTACCAAAACGATCCCGAATCTCTCCTCCAGTTCACCTGGCTCTGGCATGGGGAGTTTCAGGGGCATGTTGTGTCCCCTTAAATCAGTGTGCTGGTCCATGCTTCCTGCGTTCCCCATGTTTTCGCTTCACACCAGCCACAAACTTCTGCCCTACTTTGTAAAAATCCCCCTTTCTTCTGTCCGCTGATAAGAGGGGGATATCTGCACGCGCTCTTTGGCTTTCCTAGGCTCCGAGCAGCTTTATCCAGGTCACTTCTGTTTCTGTTGCTTCAACATAAAACACACGAGAGGGAGGCAGCATTATGCGACGACCCTTGAGAGACATTCCCCTTAAAAAAAAAAAAAAAAAAAGAAAACTAAAACGTGACTCGATCCACACCCGGACCTCTGCGCGGTGTTATCCGTATCTTGCACAATTTCGGCTCCGCTCCCAGTCGGTAGGAATGACGACGGGCATGATTCACTCTTATGTTAGTAGAGACGGACTTTCTTAATCTTCACTGGTGGCCAGCTTGTCTGAGCAGGAGGAGGACGTGGGGGGAACCCTCGTCACCCTCTCTCATCCCTCTCTACTTCCAGGGACGAGCCTCCCACTTCTGCGGTCTTGGGGCGTTGCTCCTGAACAGAGGGGAGTGAAGTGTTGCATTGTGGTACTTTGAGTCAACAACTTTAGAGCCACAGGTCAAAACATCACTGTGTTTGAATTTTGGTTGTGGATAAAAGTACACCATTTTCATCAAATAACAAAGCAAATGATCAAATAAATGTTTAACAAAATGTTAAATGGTTTCTGCCGTTTTTCACTCGGAACTTTAACAGCCTTTTTTTTTTTGGGAGAAGTAGCTTTTATGACCCTGTTTCAAGAGCAACCAAAAGTAAAGCGACTTAGTGTCGGTCCCCACTAACGCCACTAACACGATTATGCGTTGCATTCTGGGATGTGCGCAGACATGTTGATGGCCTTACGAGTGTAAACAAACTGTGAAAATAAACGGTGTGTCGCAGAGAAGAATGCAGAATATACCATGATACGTTAAACTGAGAATCCGGGAACAGGTACATGTACAAAATCAGCATCATAAACGGTTTTGATTCATATGAAAGACCCAAGATTGGAGCACCAACGACAATTTGTTGCCGCCACAGTTCTGCATAGCGGACATTTTCGGCCAACTTGTTTGTGGTGAGAGCGAATGTAAACATCTGGATGAGAGGTAAACGTTTCATTTGCTGGTTTTTCTAGTAAAACAATCAAAATTGTCATCTCATAGAAGAAGTGTAGCAGGAGAAGTTGTGTTGTCTGTCAGTGCGCCCGCACTAGCCTATCGGTATGTGTTCATAGTCTTTGTGTGTGTCGTGTGTGCACGTTGCGGTTGAAGGAAAGAAACGGTGTTTAAATAACGTACTCTATATGTAACTTTACTTACTTACCAGAATGAAAATACTCGAAGTTGCTGCTTGGTTGCCTTACAGCTTTATGTTAGATTCTTGGTCTCGTGGTCATGCCTCCAAGCTGGAAAACTGTGAAAAGTTAGCTAGTTTTCCACCTGTTTCCCTGGCGATCATGTGTTGCATCTCACAACACAGTAACGATTTACCATAGTTGCGTAATATAACCAACCAAACTAATAATAGATTATATGAAGCCGCAAAACAGACTGAGCACGCTGATGTCAGAAGTAACAAGCAACAAGTAAAGACTTGTTGGCCGCCAACATGGCTGCCACTTTGGTGAAAAAACAGAGATGGTGGCGGCTTGTTTGAAACAGCTTTGGAATCAACATTGGACTACTTTGATTTTGGTTTCTCTTTGAATCAATAGCAGATAGAGGTAATTAAGTCTGTTATTTAGAAAAAAGATATATTTGCATCTTCTTCGACAGTGAATGCCTTGTTGACTGACATCCATAGATGTGAATATGTCACGTTTTTTGTTGTCAAATAGCACGTAGATGTGACAGTGGGAGTGTCCTGTCACTGTATCCTGATTGATCATGCGCCCTGGCTACTTGGCCAATGGGATGTCCCTTTAGCTGACTGGTTAGCGCGCATGACTCTCACCCGGGAGTCTGGGAATCGAATCCCGCCTGGATTTGAAGTTTGTGGCACCCTGCGCTGGAGCACGAGGACGTGCTTGTGGAAAGAGGAGGGAAGATGTGACATTGTGAGTGTCCTGTCACTGTATCCCCATTGATCATGCGCCCTGGCTACTTAGCCAATGGGATGTCTCTAGTTCGAAAGACAACCATAAATCCTACTCCACGACTAAGATCTGTTGATGGGTCGTAACTAGACTATATAACAGTGCCGTCAATTTGCTACAATGCCGTGGCGGCATCAGGGAGGCTTATGCCATTTATAAGTGGTCAGACCGTGTTGGTAATGTGGTGCAATGGTGTCCTTTTTTACAAAAGATTACACAATGGCGGTATAAAGGGGGTATGGGGCAGTCTCTGCGCTGCCAAGGACTTCCCTTTATCTTGGACATAACTATCTGTTTATCTCAATCGTAGTCGTGCTCTTTAAGTTTTTTGACAAGCCACTCCTAAATGTGTCTGTCCTCCCTGTCCCTCACAGTCCCCGTACTGTCTTTGGTGATCTGAGCTCCAGCTACAGGACTGCTGCATTGGTCCAGTTTGCTGTCTCAGCTGATTCTGTTCACAAAAGCTAAATTTACGGCCCATGTTTACTTTCATTTTCAATATAGTTGCCAGCCGGAGCTTTGCAGTAACTCCCCATTTGATCAAGACACCTCCCTCTGTAGCGACAAGGCGCAATCGCCATTTATTTGACAGTTAACGCAATATTACTATCAAGTGTGGCGGAACAAATGCCACAAAATTTGTGCCATGCCAGTACGGCGCGTTTATGACACACTGTTGTGTTAATATTACGCTGATTTGCGGGCATGGTGTGTCTTGTAAATAGGGCTTAGGTTGGCTTGCCAGGTTTCACAATTACTGTAAATGCTCTAAAGATAATCTTGCCAGATTATCCTACCTTGTGTGGTGTGTGATGGGCACTCGGGTCTGCTTGGAATGTCATTGGGACCGCTCCAATCATAAATCTCTGCTTTTCAAGATGTTTTTCAAAGTTGCGGGGTGAATCAAGAGTTGCTTAAACTCTTAAGGGGTCACTCACATTGTGAGAAAAGAGTTTCTAAGCAGATGTGTTGGTCTTATCACCGTAACAATTACACACTATACTGCTCAGGAGTCTCCCCAGGAGGTTTTGACACTATTCACATATGACAATATTTCATGTGAGGAAAGGGTTAGATAACTAGTCCAAAGGAACCAACGTCCTAAATGACCCACAGACGGCTAATGATGGTCTGTAGCACGTCATCAGGAAAATCCATAAACACTAAACAATATTTAAATACAAATTTATTTGATCATTGTTATATTTAATTCAGATAGCTAATTTTGTAACAACTTAATTATCCAGAGTAAAAGGGGCGGGGGGGGGGGGTGTTAACTCATGAGATCCGGGAGCTTAGTCAGTTGTTGTTTCACATCTTTTCTCAAACTAATGAACTTTTTACAATGACTAAAAAAAACATCTCCCTAAAAACAAAGTCTTGATGCTAAATCAGTATTTGCCTCTCTTCCAGTTTTGTTGCTAAAATCTTCCCAACCGTTTGGTTGGAAGATCTCCAGGAAATTCTCATTTTTATTCCAGGAATAAACTCCTTGGTGAATTTCTGGAGAGCAGTTACAACTTTTTCCACGAAACATTTACGCCTACCCTTCCCTCAAAAAAGAATCTGTAACAAGCAGTACAAAGAAAGCTGATGTCTTCAGGGTGGGGACCGCTTGATGCACAAGAAGATGACATCAACAATGCAGAGCTCTGGAGATTTTCCAGAGGTTTTTCCCCACATTCACAGTGGTTTTGTTCAGACTGCTGGACCAGTTCCACTGGAGGAGGCTGTCACATCTGACGTTAGCTGGCTGAAAACACTGACGATGCAAAACACAGCTGACTGACTTCATGCCATCATTACATGTTCCCAATTAATTTTTTTAAAGCTGTTAGATGATTTCTCCCTTTGTGTGCTTTATGGAGCGTGCTCCACACCTTTATTGACTCAGATGATCCTTCTCATCACAGCGCTCCTATTCCCCATTATACATGGATTCTTACTATCGGAGGCAATCGCAGACTTAGACATAAATGGGATCACAATGTTTTGAAGAGTCAATTTCATGTTTACCTGCAAGATTAATGATCCAACTATCAGGTATTTCTGGGTTATGGCAGCTGCTGCTTGGCAGGATGCCTTGAAGATGTGTAGTGCTGCTCCACTGAAATTTATATTTGATTTAATGTGATGAAACATGAGCTATTTCAGAAATATTTACTCAGTATGAGTCTTCAACCAGATTGTGAGGGCCAGTGCCCCCCTGAGAGCAAGCTTGGGCCCCACCCCTGCTGAGGGCAGAGCCTAAACATTAACAAGTACTGATTTTTATGTCACAATGTACCCTATTGCAAGATGATTAAACAAAGCATGTGACTGCATTTATCTGAAGTTTAAGAGATGTTGACATATGTTGTCACTAAGATTGAGAAGTTTATTGAAAAGTTATGCAAATGTTACTGAATTGCTGTTATATTGTTTTCTGCAACCTGCAGCGCTTGAGCCACAAGTGGCTCTTTGGACCTTCCACAATGGCTCTTAATGTCTTTGGCTGAAATTGCAAAAACGGTTAACTCATGTTTTTAAATAAAGACAAACAATGCATGTTTAATCCAATGGGTTCAAATGAAGGCAACTGGACTTCATTGGTTCCTTAAAGACGTTTTGCCTCTCAGTTCTTTGTCAATTGTGACTGGAATATGGGAGTGTTGAGCTTATAAATTATAGCTGACTTGTTGTTGAACAAGCTGAAACTACATGTGAATTGAATACCCCCCCCCCCCCCCCCCAACACACACACGCCCCAATTATGTGTTGATGTTGTTAGGTCCTTTTGTGTTAGAATGATTGTTTTGATTAGATGCATGAGAGTGTGACCTAGACTGAAACTGACCCACTAGTGTCCTAAATGTTAAAACTCTTTAGTGTTGCTTTAATCTCAAAGTTCTCTATTTCTTCCCAGAATTTTCTTCTTCAAAATTCTCATATTGTTTTTAGAATTTTGGAAACAAAATACCTTTTTCTTTCAATGGCCTTAATCTTGTTCAGTAGAATTTCTCTGAAATGCAAAAAAATTTTTTCAAAAGGTTCTTTAACAGTTGCGGCTCTAAGTTTAATTCAGGTGGACTGAGGGGGGAAACGTTTCTTTGTACTGTAAAGGCTGCAGACCCCTGGCCCAGTACATCTACTGCAAAGGAACATAATGATCTTTAAAGGAGACATATTTTAACTTTTGCTTTTAACTTTTCCCGCATTCCCGCCAGGCCGCGTTGCGGCACGGTTTCTTCATCCAAGTTTTTTAAGGTCGGTTTATCCTCATTCCTCAGTGGTCTCTCCTCCTGTTCCCCCCATAAGTGGTTTTTATAAACACCGTGGATCTAACCCTGCTAATTTACGTCCACTAACTCCAGCTGTTTCTGTAGTTTCTGATTCCTCCACCTCACCCA